TGAGGGAGAAGATGAATAGGAGGGTAGGCACAGAGAAAATAGTTGTATCAGTCCTGACCGAATGCATCCACAGTAAGAGCTGAGGGATGAGAAACCAGGGACCAGAAAAGGGGATGTGTGCTGTTGAGACAAGTGGCAAAAACATCTAGAAGAGGAGTGCCCAAATGAGAGCACAGTCCCTGGGAAACCAGAGGATCAAAGGACCACAACATAGGTAGTATCTTGTTGGGCCTCAAAAGACAATCCAGGACAAGATGCAGGGCACCTGGAATATGACAAGCTATTAGATATATAGAATTGGTCCATAAAAGGAGGTTGATGGTGTAGAAACTGGTTGCCCCTCTGGAGATTGATATTGGAAGAAAAAAAAGATTTGGCTATATGGATCATCATTGGACTTCCACAAATCATCATAAGAAAATGATTCAAAGTCTGATATACTGCCAAAAGCTTTAGGAGAGTGATATGAAGGGACAAATCATTGTGAGACCACTGACCCAAAATCATTGAGAGTTGAGACATAACCCCTATCTTGCTAAGGAGGCATCTGAAAACAGATGGAGACCTGGATGAGAAGAAGAAAGAGGAACACCCTCCATGGTATTTGCCGTATCAATTCACCAGGCGAAGACTTTGAGTAAGGAAGGAGCAAGGAAAATGTTGAAGGACAAGGGAAGCCAAGTAAGTAGACATTGATTATGTAGAGTCCATTGTAGATGTTTAAATGAGCATGACCCAAGGGGATATGGGATTCCATGGAAGCCTAATTCCCCAAAAGAGAGAAAAGGACAGGATAGTACATGGGAAACTAATTGCTCCATGTCCCTCAAAAGAAAGGAGGAAGGCTGGGCCCTGTGGAGATGTGAACAGAAAAACACCCAAATGAATGAGAAACTAAACGGGTGTTGACCAACCAACCTAGATTCGCTGCCTCCTGAAGTAGAGGAGGATGGATGCAAGAGGCTTGTTGGGATGGAGCCAAAGAAGAAAAGCATCCGACAAATCAACTTCAGTCATCCTAAGACTTGGGGCAAAAGATCACCCTAGGATGAAAAAATTCCCCATGGTAAAACAAGGGAGGTCAAGAAACCAACTGAAACATGAGATGACTAAGACTGGATGCCTAGCTACAAATCCCTTGGGAACCATAAAAAGATGGAAATAAATCCTGGAAAAGAGTAAAAAACCCAACCAATGGAGTCTTGAGCCATTAAGTCCACTCCTGCCACAGATGTTGGCAAGAAACATGATCCCTTGGAGGAGGGAAAGTAAGGAGAACAGGAGACAATGAAAGAGGAGAAGATCAAACGAAGGGTAAAGCTCTCTGACAGAACTCTCATGACTCAAAAATCAGCAGCAAACAAAGGGAAAAGGTCCATAAACCTAAGTAAGAAGACCCCACTAACCCTTAGCCTATTGAATAGTCACTGCCAAGACTGACAGCACTGAAGTCTACAAGCAGTTGGGGATAGATGGGAACAGAGGAACAATAAGTAGTGGCAGGGGAAAAAGGAGAAGGACAAGAGATAGAGAGAGGCAAAGAAGGAGCACAAGAGAGATGGTAAATCTGTGACAATAAAGAAGAACTTAGGCATACAGCCCAAACCTGTGACCCCAGAGAAACAAGCACACCAGTAAAATCACACAGGCAGAAGAAAGGACCCAGATAAAGGCATTTGAGAGGAAAGGGAAGCAAAAGCACTTGGGTAACAAGGGCATCATGCCCAAACAAACACTAGCAACAGATCAACAAATATAAAGGGATAAGGCCAATAAACACACCACTGTAGAGAAGATAAGTGAACAAGCATCCACCAAAAATATCTCAGGGGAATGGTGGCTTGCCACAGAAAGAAGGTGAATGGAAGAAAAATAATGGAAAAGTGAAAGACAAAGGTGGGAATACTTAAGCCTAAGAAAAGATGAACAAAGACAGAGGATCTAACCTCCATGTCTGAAGAAAAGACCCCAGAGTTTAGGAGTTGAGAAAGGCAATACAGCATAAAGTTGGGCCTATTCATAAGAGGTAACAAAGGAAGGAGAATGCATGCACCAAAGTAATGATAAAAGTAACTGAATATCTGTATATAAAGTAAAAAACATAAAAGAAGAATCAGGGAATGAATTACAAAGAGAAAGAATGAAACATGCCCAAGAAACCTAGTCCCAAAATTACAAAAGAGGTTTAGGTAGCTTAGAGACAACATGGGCATAAGATTAGGTAAAGGGAGGTAGTGGGGAAAAAACTGGCAAAATCCCTTCTGTCATGAACGAGAAACAGAGGCAGAGGTATGTCAGGTTTAAAAGAAGGCACAGACCACATGAAATAATCTACCACTCAAAAGCTGTAACTTCTCTCAACAGACAAAAACAAACCTGATGCCATTGTAGGAGTGGAACTAGCGTGAACAATGTCTTGTTGTCTCACACCAGATAAAGTGAAGGTTAATGATACTCATGAAATAATAATGTGGAAATAAAAGGCCATAAAATCTATAAGCCCAGAAAAATGTTGGAAAGTATAAATCCAGCAAGAAATACTTCCATAACAAGCAATGTCTGTGTAGATACATCAACTTATCAAATGCCTATAGCTGAATAGTTCCTGAGCAAAAAAAAGAGACCTTGTTACACATGAGTGTCAAATTAAGAAGCAATGATTGTAGACTTTAGTGTACAGGAAGTCACCTGCACTAGGAGGGTGTATTGCATTCCTATTAGTGTCAAATTAAGAACTGATGATTGTAGACTTCAGTGTAGAGGAAGTTACCTGCACTAGGAGGGTGTATTGCATTTCTATTAGTGGAGGGTTGTTAAATGCTAATTTGCATGTTACAGTACAGCAATATCACATGGAAACACATGAATTTAGGTGGGAGCTGCAAATCTAGTGGTGAGCAAAAAACTGAGCTTATAAAGGGCAACACAAATCAAGGAAAGATATTATATGAAAGGGGGTAAGTTTTTGTATCAGAATATGCTTTAAAAAAATTGACAGAGGGTTTAAGTGAATAGCCTTCACTCTACTCAGCAGTTTACAAAAAGAGGTAAACAAAAAGTTGGTGATAAGTGCTGCTAGTTGGTTGCCTTCCCCGTAGTCAGCAGTTAAAAAAAAATTAGACAATCAGGTATATACAATATCTCAAGCCTGATACTGGCATTTCACCCTTATGAATGTTCCAGTGGCTGCAAGGTATACAAGATGCAAGGGAATTCACTTTAAACAAGCATTTGGTTGCTGTTAACAGCTCCACCTGAAAACTAGACCTAGTGTGATATGCAGGTATGTCATGTGTTTTCTACCTGCTTTAGTTATATAGGAATTACAAAAAAAAATTTGGTTGTTTAGTTTTCATGCTATAATGGCAGAAACACATGGCCAAGAAAGTCGTTAATATTATCTTGTTATAGTTGCATTGTTTCTTTGTTTTCAATATTAGGTAATGTTTATTCTTCCTGAGATGATGTTGCAGTAATATCAATAGCACCTGGACTGAATGTATTAAAACTGTAATATCCTTTGCTGCCCGGGTTGACGATGACTAAATGCAACGGTCAATCTGTGCTGTGAGAGAACAAATGCCATAAAGTGATGCTGTCTTTAGCCAAGTTCTACTAAGAGATCATCAAGTGAAAACTAACCTCAATAAAATCATGTTTTAGTTCTATGGAGATTAATTCTTATGAAAGAAAGCCATGGAGCTAAACACAGTCTGGTAGAAGCAAATATTATTCCAGCTGCACTTGTACACATACTGTGCTTTCTTTTTATTTTTGATAATAAAGATACTGTTCTTCCACACTCATTATTTTACACAAAGAAACTCAGTCAAGTTATCAACTACAGAACCCTTATTTGATGAGTGAACATGTTTTTTTATTGTAGGTTTGCCTATCTGATACTTGTGGGAAAATACATTTTATCTGAAAAATAGCACAATACATATGATACCTTAGGCCTGATATAGACATTTCACCTTTATGAATGTCTCAGTGACTGCAGGGTATGCAGCAGGCAAGGGAATTCACTTTAAACCTGGGCACAAAGAACTAACTAGATATGTGTGTTGTGTGTTGTGTGTGTGTGTAGTAAAATGAAGAATAAAACTACCAAATATACATTACACATGTTTATTGTACATATTGATATACTTATATTTTTGAAAAATTTAATGACAAGTGCTATATACTTCCACTTAATATTTCTAGCTTTTTTTTTCATTCTAAACATGCTTATGGCAGGCTCATATCCTTAAAATGTATGCAATTTGAATTCAGTTCAAGAACATTTTCATTTATGGTATGTTTTTCAAATGCATTGTGAACAAAAATATTGCTGTACATGTTAATATTAATGTCTTATGAACCCAAATACTTTACAATAATGGCAAAAATCAGGAAAATACATTGAAAACAAATGATAGTAAACATGTGTGTATGTGGCAACCCTTAGTAGCTGTACGTGTATTGAGATTCTGTATGCAAATGGTCATTTCCATCTGGGAAAGTTTTCATTGTAAACTATAAGTTTAATATGAACAATCTTTATGACTTACTTTCAAAAAATCATAATTTGTTAGATCAAAATTACTTATCAATAAATTTTAATGATATAAGATGCAAAATATATCAGCCTTTTCACTAAACTTGTAATATTTTAACATTTATTGCTAACTTTCAAGAGATGACAAAATATGATTTTCAGTAGCCAAAATAATAAACTTCACATACAACTTTTGTAAAAATTGTTTAGTTTCATGAAAATACTACATGAGTAGAAAATACAAAAATATAGTGGCATATGTAAATATAAGAATGTTGACACTTTTCTACTTTGATGGATTCAACATAAGTCTGTATTAAAAAAATTGATCATGTAATCTACAAATTCTCATAAATAATTCTACAGGATTATATATTCTATCTATAGAGAAATCAACTGATCTGTTTTCATTCCTGAAAGGGACATTGATTTACAACATAACAATTCTTAAAATTACCTGAGTGGAAGTGACTAGGTCATTTCTAATGTCCACATCACGTACAGATCCTTTGATCCCCTGAAGACAAAAGTCTGTCATATAATGGTCTGAGACACCACCAAATAAAGACCATCCAAAAGTACTCAAAACTTTGTCTTTTGTACCTGCCTGCTTGCTTTGCAACCTATCAAAATATTTTATACTGACAATGGAAATTACAGTAACAGCTGCAAAGTGTAGGATGAAATATCATGTGCTTACACACACTGTTTCAATGACTTTTGAATATGCAAATATTTCTATGAAATGAGACAATACTAGCCAACACAAAATTGTATTAGTCTAAAATGTAAAGAATATTCAGGATTTTTAAAAATCCTATTATTCTCTGAAAAAGTAAGCCCTATGTATTCAAATCGATTATGAGGAACCCACTTTGAGACTAATAATGCTTGGAGATGGCTTGAATGGGTAATGAAGAAAAACTTTAATATAAGTTTAACATAGCAGCAAATGTACAATGTTTCGACAAGGTTTTGTTATCATCAGCTACAAGTAGTTTACACTGACACAGATATATATATACAGAATAGAACAAAGAGGTCACATGACCGGATACTGTTGCAAGACTTAGGAGAGGTATCTTGGCACCACAGGG